CTTAAATTGTTACCAACTTAAAATAGACTGTTATAAACATAAGTTGTTATATGTAAGTCCCATGATAACTGCAAAGCAAAAACTTACAGTATATACACAAAACATAATGAGAAAGGAACCTAAGCATACCACTAATGAAAGTCATCAAGCCACAGTGGAAGAGAACAAGGGAAGAAAGAACCAGAGAGTAACTATAAAACACTCAGGAACAATTAACAAAATGACAGTGAGTACATATTTAACATTGGTTACTTTAATTGTAAATTGACTAAATTCTCCAATCAAAAGACACAGTGGCTGAATGGATTTAAAAAGACCCATCTATATGATGGCTATAAGAGACTCACTTCACACGTAAGGACAGAAACAGATGAAGTGAAGGGATGGAATAATATATTCCATGCAAATGGAACCCCAAAGAAAGTTGGAGGAGCTATACTTGTATCAGACAAAATAGACTTTAAAACAAAGACTAATTCAAGGTATTACATAATGATAAGTTATCAGTCTAATAACAGGATATATTTGCAAATATTTATGTACCCACCCAGGACCACCTAAATAAATGAAGCAAATATTAACAGAACTAGAGAAAGAAGTAGACAACAATACAATAATAGTAGGGGACTTTAATACCTCACTTACAACAACAGATAGATCATTAGATAGAAAATCAAGAAGAAACATGGCCTGAAAGGATATGTTAGACTAGAAAGACTTAACTAAAGATACGTGTAGCTCATTCCATCCAAAAGAAACAATATACATTCTTATAAAGCACACATAGAATATTCTCCAGGATAGATCATATGTTAGATCATAAAACAAGTCAATACATTTAAGACAGTGGAAATCATATTAAGCATCTTTTCCAGCCACAATAGTGTGAAACTAGAAATCAATTACAAGAAGAAAACTGGAAAAATCACAACTATGTGGAGATTAAACAGCATACTACTGAACAGTCAGTGGGTCAATGAAGATTTTAAGGAGAAATTAAAAAAATTTGTCTCAAGGAGACAAATGAAAATGCAAATATAATATATCAAATCTTACAAGATGCAGCAAAATTAGTCCTAGGAGGGAAATTCATAGCAACAAATGTCTACCTCAGGAAATGGGAAAAATCTCAAACAACCTAACTTTACACCTCAAGGAACTAGGAAAAGAAAAACAAATGAAGTCCAGAGCTAGTGGAAGGAAATAACAGAGTGGAAATAAATGAAGTATAGACTAAGAAGACAATAGAAGATATTAGTCAAACTAAGAGCTAGTTCTTTGAAAAGATAAACAAAATTAACAAACTTTTAACTATACTCACCAAGAAAGAAAGAGAGAAAACTCAAATAAAATCAGAAATGAAAGAGAAGACATTACAGCTGATACCACAGAAATACAAAGATTGTAAGATTACTGTGAACGCTTTGGTGCCAACAAAGTGGACGACCTAGAAAGAAGTGGAGAAATTTCTAGAAACATACAACCTACCGAGACTGAATCACAAAGAAATAGAAAATCTGAATAGACTAATTACTAGTAAGGAGATTGTATCAGTAACCAGAAACCTCCCAACAAATAAGTCTAGGACCAGTTTTGCTGGTGAATTCTACCAAACATTAAAAGCAATCCTTCTCAGACTCTTCCAGAAATAGAAGATAAGGTGATGCTTCCAAACTCATTTTACAAGGCCAAGATTACCCTGATACCAAAACCAGACAAGGATGCCACAAGAAAAGAATTACAGGGCAATATCCCTGATGAACATAGATGCAAAAGCCCTTAACAAAATACTAGCAAACCAAATTGAACAATACATTAAAAGGATTGTATACCCTGTGATCAAGTGGGATTAATTCCATGATGCAAGGATGGTTCATCATTTGCAAATCAATCAGTGTGATACATCACATTAACAAAATGAAGAATAAAAAATCATATAATTATCTCAATAGATGCAGAAAAAGCATTTGACAAAATTCAACACCCACTTACAATGAAAACAAAGTGGATATAGAGGGAATGTACCTCAACATAATAGAGACCATATGTGACAAGCCCACAGCCAATATAACAGTGAAAACTGAAAGCTTTTCCTCTAAGATCAGAATAAGGCAAGGATGGCCACTCTCATCACTTCTATTCAGCATAGTATTGCAGTCCTAGCAAGAGCAATTAGACAAGGAAAGGGAGGGAGGGAGGAAGGAA